AAAGAAGGAATTAAGTAAAAAATTTAATTTTGCGTCAAGAAATATGTTTACTTTCTTTATCTTTTCTCTACTAAGAGGTATTGATTGCATTTATGCTAAAACTTTCAATTAAAGCATGTGTTTGAAGAAGTATAGAATAAAATCTCTTTATCTAGTTTCTTAATTCTTCCCGTTAATATAATTTCTTTTCCAGAAGATTGTTCATTTTGTATTCTTGACTCTCCGATATTTGTTACATCACATGTTGTCATCGATTCTTCACCGAGTGTGATATTCATTCGCTTCCCCTTCATGCTAAAATATTCAATGGCATGGCGTTCACACACATTCATTTAGTTCCAATGATATATTTCGGTATGACGTTCAAACAAAATCTCATATCCTAATATATAACATCCATCACCTGAATTTGACAAATATCATTTACATGAAATCACATAATCAACTCAAATAACCTTGTAGAATATTTGAAAAAAATAAATAAATACTTCTAACCTTTTCACAGATATTGCTTTAGCAATATATTCATCTCCATCCACTTTATTGTTAAGTTTTATCATGTCAGTCAAAGAAAGTACGTCATCAGATGTCTTCAAATTTTTGTGAACGAGTACAAATATGCAACTGTAAACAAATAAATTAAGCAATAATAGGAAAAGTGGAATATCTGCTGAAGATGTCGAAATTGTGACAATATACGTGTTATGACTGTCTGTAGTTTTGCAAATCGTCACTAGTTGACGCTAGAGGTTTTTATTCGCCAGGTCCTGCAAATGCTTTAAGCGATACTGTGTGGTGTTTAAATATATTGTTTGTCGAATTTTACTTGCCCTCTTTGTTTCGCTTTTTAAATATCATGGGGAATTGATGATGAGCAATCCGTCCTTCGTGAGTTTCTATATTTTTAATGCTTTTTCACAGAAAAGGGAATTTTGACTTCAAAGAGTGTTTCAGATTACTACGACACTTTGTTTTCTTTGTTGATTTCTCTTTTTTATTATTTCTAAATGTTGCTGATATATTTGTACAGATATAAGTAATATAAACTTATGAAGAGCAATAAGTTAATATCACTTGAACATCCAGCACCGATACCTCTAATTTATAGTGAAGAACAATATTGTCCTTGGAATTATTTGTATCTGAGACATATACGTTTTCAAAAAGTATAAATAGAGTGATGAGTTGAAATTATCGCAAATGCAGTTTTGGTCTCGTCAGTTATTTCAAATTTCCGGGAAGCCGGCCATGTATAATAACAAAATGCCAAAAACTTTCGCATTGCAAACTTTTCTCTCGAACGTACCCAGATTGTAATTGATGTAAAAATGAACCATCGTTTGATTAAAAGTTTTGTTTTATTTTTAGATGTATATATAAATATTGGTGAATTTGAATGTGAAATTATTTTTACTGACTACTGCAATCAGGAAACTTATGATGTTTTTGTTTTTTATAATTTAAATTTTTTATCATTTCACCAAATTAAAACAGTTTAAGTGATGTTGCAAAAATTAAACTATGGAAAAATGACGGAGAAACAAGATTTGACAAAATTGTTCTCCAACAAACTCAAAATCCCACACATTGCCATCTTTGAAACGATATTATATATACATTATATTAATATATTCTATTTCTGCTCCACATTAAATTTATATATGTTCATTAAATTGCCTAGCAATATGTCTTTCATATATTAACATTGTATATACAGAATAAAATACTGTCACTTTAGCAATACATACCTCATATACTAACGTGACTCAATGATTTGAGGTTGTGAATTTTTAGTAATTATACGAGACGTCAATACTGTTCTTTCCGTTTTGCAGTCACCCAGAGACATACAAAGCCATGGTTTCGGTAAAAACAATAGTTTCAATGAATTGTGGGTGTGAATTTTTAGTATTTCTACGAGGCGTCAATACTGTTTGTTCTGTTTTGCAGTCACCCAAAGACATACACAACTTTGGTTTCGTTAAGAACAATAGCTTCCTGTTCGGCGTTAATAACTTGCAAAGTTGTGAATCCCTTGTGACTCCTAATCCAAAAAATGGCTATTGTGCCAAAATGCCAAACGGTCGTCCTTAAAGTGCTGTATTGGGCTGTTGCGACGATGGTGTTGAGATGTGATGTCGATATTGGACTGATCATGTTTCCCGGTGGCATAGATGGCGGGGCCGGTGCAATTACTGGGAGCTTGATCAAGCCACATAAGGCGGTGGAGTTTAGTGTGTTTTAAAAGTAATGCGATAACGCCAATCTCCGTACTCCGTACCGACACCGGGGATTAGTACCGGTCTAGTGTCGAGATTTGGAGTTTTAGTTTAGCCAAACTGGTTTGTTCGAACACTCGACCCAAGCTGTCCGACTAACATAGCGTATTCTGACATAAACTACAAGAAAATGCGAATTCATGCTCTGGTGACCAGTTCCCGCGTAAGGCATATTGTTAAAACGTTTATTGACGATAGTGGTTTGTTTTCGTATGTGTTGGATTCGAAATGACCAAGTTGTATCACGACGTGACGCGGACGAATAGAACTAGTCAAATTTTATCTTTTTGGGAATTAGAACTCAATTCATCCGATTAAAAAAAAAAAAATTGTAAGATTTTATATGTTGTTAAAACGGGAGCATGAATACAGAGGTGTTCGTGGCCTATATTGAGCAAATTAAACTTTACACTTTATAATAATGCATTTTTATTACCTAGTCGCGTGTTCCGTCCATTTTTGCAAAAAATAGTTTCATTAAAAAAGTATTCTCTCGAAAGTGCAAGAAATGAAATGGGTTATCCTGAAACAATGAACAATCCTAAATGTTGTGACAAAGCATGAAAAGATTATGTAAACGACGTATAAAGTTATTGCCTAATAGCTTCCTCGGGAAATATCGTTTCCTCAATAAAATTCACTAAAGCAATGTCGTCTTGCAGTTAGTTCAATGCGGCATTCCTCATTCAGAACTCGATGTATTTTCAATATGGAAGAAAACAACATAATGATAAAATATGTTCCTACATTATTTTCAAGCAGATCTCTAGCATAAAGGCTTAGATGAAGATAGGGAGTTAGACTCGTTCACCTCAAACCTCTTCTAGCTGGTAAGAAATACTTGTCTTAAATCACAATAATGCAAATTTCTTAAGTGTGAGAAATTTTTTTTTTCAAGTTAGCATATTTGTATGAGACGTTACGTTTTGCAATTAACGTATTCTGATTTGTTATCGAACATCTCGAAGATCTGTGTGATACAGTGTATGGTGGGTGTGTTGCGATTAGATCTCAATTGCATTTGGAGGGTTGATGCTATAGGTACACACTAATAAAAGACAGAGGAAAACGATTTCCACTTGGTTATAATATTTGTTTTTCATAATATGCACTCGTGACAACAATGCTAAGCATAATCACAATTCAGTGTTTGCTTAACGAGTATAAAGGCAATACTTCCTTATGCATATGTGCTATTACATCAGGTATAACTGATGCATGAACACACAATTCATTGTGATTTAGGAACGGTTATTGGACGTCCTTGTTTCGGTGCGTTTCCAACTATTTTGTTATTGTTGAGGGAAGTGGTAGACTGACTCAGTAAACCGTAAACAGTTGAACACTCCTACGTGACAATTTACGTTCACTTCTCATGATTGTATGTAGAGCGGGTTTCGAGAAATGTTGGTACGATAATATTAGTAGCAGTTTGTAGGAGTTTCAAAATGTGAATGAAGAAACTTACGCATAAGTTATGTAATTATTATCACTGTATCAAAGTATTCTCGTGAAAAAGTGTTTCAAGGCTTTCGCTTCATAGCAGGTACAGCCACTTCTGCTGCTTGTAGTTTACCACAAGAAAGACTCATGGATATTGCCGCAATGTCGAAATATATTAATAACCAGTTCAGTCTTAAGCAAACAACGATCTATGATCAACTAAAATCTGAATATAAGAGAAGGGACGAATTCATGTAGCTGGGCATACTGGTGAAATGGTCGATCTTCTACGACACAAAGGTTCAAATCAGTCGACGTGATTCGCCGTTATTCATAATATTGCTTCAACAATAGGAACTGTGATGTTTGTCACGTTCATTTACTTGAGTTGCTTGATTTATATTTCGATAAAAAATATAATTTTATTTTTAAAAGTGGCATTAAATTAATTTTATTTTTTACATTGCAGTTATGATAATTGAAACCTAAAACGACCTGATCAAAAAGATTTAAAATTAGGTTGTAATATTTAGGTTGACGACAAATGTCAAAAACTGTGTCCTTCGAATAATAAAGATGAATCTTTCAATTTTGGTGATATTGTTTTCGATCCTTATCATCAGTGTTTCAGCTCAAGGTTAGTTTAATTTTATGAATGAAAACTTTTTGTCATATCTCGATGAAAACCTTTTGTTTAGGTTGCGTTCTCACGGACAAATACAAAGTTTCCTTATAATGAATTAAAAAATTTCAGCTTTTAAAGTATTGTATACTCATTCAATATATCATTACAATTTTACTTTTGTCAAATTTTATGTTAATAAATGAGAATTGTTCTTTATTCAATTGTTCAAATTTGAATCTGATTACAATTCCAGATACCGTTGTGTTTCAGATCCCTGGAAGAAAGAATGTGTTGATGGGTTTGAACTGCTTTTCTTCAAACAACATAAAACTTACAACAGCGCCAAATCTTCCTGTGAGGGATTGGGAGGTTACTTAGCTAAAGTTGATAATGAGAGAATGACGACAGTCATTAATTCAGCATTCGAGTGAGTTAAAAAGAAACTTATTTTTGATATCTTGGTGTTATATAATATGTGAATTGTTCTATGTGTTGAATGAAACTTTAGCACTAAATAGATAAAATTGATTATCTCACTGTTGTTTGTACCATCTCGATGTAGATTAAACACCTATTATATGCGTGAGTTGAAATAGGATATTGTTTGTACAGTGATGTACTTGAGCTAAAGATTTATTTTACTTTTAGGAAGCATGTTGTAGGATCGGGATATTTCCAAATATGTACTTCTTTATTTTTACATTATATTAGTAAAATCTGCCGCAGTACGTACATCGAGAAATCTTTTTAGTTTTAACATTTACACAGCGATTTATTTACCTTGGATGTGTTGCATTGAAACAAGTAGTCTATCGTGATTAGAATAAAAGCAAGAATCAATATAATTTCTATAGCTCACAAGTTTGTATATTTGTATAAATATAAACGAAAACTGTTCTTTACGGAATGGGTTTTTCAGAAATTAGTTTTTAAACAAATCAATTCATGTTTGCAAATCACACAAACACCGGAACTAACTGATTTTTGATTACGGGCTACCTGGCATATTCAACGTTTTTTAATACTACTTTGGTTCATTAGACAAAAGCTCTTTAGTTATCTTAGCGCGTCCGTGGGATATTTCAGCTCTCCTTTCAGACATTTGCTCAATTTTTAATCGATTGTTCTGTTCTTTTCTTCAAAAAAAAAAAAATAATACTATTTCTATGTTCTTAGCCTACAAGGTAATGATAACACCTTTTATATCGGAGGAAACGACATAGCTAGCGAAGGAGATTGGAGATGGCAGGATGCTACTGATGTGATGATGAGAGGAACAAAAGGATATCAAAACTGGTGTTTTTCTTAACATTATTTAGAAAAGTTACAAACGAATTTAATAAACAATATATTTTCTGCGTGAAATAGTTTTCAGAACTTGTATACCACGCGGTATTCATTATTATCAATTTTATAGTAAAGAGAAATAGGTACCACGGCATAACTCCAATAATGATATATATTATCCGTCGTAGTCAAATTCCTTTTATCCGAGGTGAATTCCTGACAAACCTCACTAGATACCTGTTAGGGGCAATTGAATAAATTATGCCAAGCAAAAACTTAGTCTAATTTCATATGTAGTTTATCAATACTTCCTCTGTTCGGAAAATATTTAGGAGCTATATCAGCGTAACAACTTGTCACTAACTATTTCTTAAATTAAATGCTTAGAGCCTGCATAATTTTTAGAATAATTAATTCGGCTTCTAAATTTATCAGGAAATCGAATCAACCAAACAATGTTGGCAATGAAGATTGTTTGGCAGTTGGAAGAGAAACGTATGAGTGGATTGATATATCTTGTGATGAAATCATCTACTACATTTGCCAGAAAGGTAATATTCATTGATTTTTCTCCATTCGCTGATGACATTCCTTAACATAGATGGCTTTGGTTTGAGAATGGACTTGTATAAATCGTCCTCATAATCACCTTTACATGGGTTTTCTAGCTATGCAATAAATTAGTCTAATATTCTACAAGTGGTCAGCATATGCAAGCTTGCTCAATCGGAGATAATGGGAACGTAACAAGTTGCATAGGTTCTATCTAAAGAAACAATAGAGCAAAACTCAAATAAATGCACACGAAGTTCAAACATAATATTTTAAAAACAATTCCACAAAAATCATACGATATTATGAAGGAAGCTTGGACTGTGGAAAAGCTATAGTACCCAGAACACTACAGTAACTACCGCACTGTCCCAGCAAAACTCAAATATATCAACTTCCTGACCAATAAGCTAGCACTTAAAATTAATGATCGTAAATTAAATATGAATTGAAATAGATTGTCAAATTAGGAATATACAATTGGAACTGATCAATACATATCACATGTACAAGTATACGATACAAGTATTGTTTTTCGGTGCCACTGAATGCTCATAATAGAATTATTGGGCTTCAATCACTTAATTCAAATTGTGTTACAAACAGAGTTGCGCTAACTACTTTCAATGTTCAGTGTTTCTGCTTGCATGAACCAAAGTAATCAACCTAGTTTTTTCTTATTCTAAACCAATTTGTGTTATTTACGGCTTCAAATTTCACACATTCTGCTTCAGTATTTCCAGGCCCGTTCGTTAGAATACAAACTATCAACGTACACCAGAAAAGGTGTTCTGCAACAAACTGCAGCGCTGCAATACAAGTTGAATGGCGCAAAGCATCTAACAAAGTATCAACCGAAAATACAAGTAGAGTTTATCAAACGATACAAAATGGATCAGCAACATTAAATCTTCAACACGCAAATATTGCAGATGCGGGATCCTATAGTTGTCGTTATCAAATTGGCCAAACCTGGAAAGCTACGACTGAATCATATGGAGGTGAATAAAAATACCGATCTCTGCTTAATTTTGTAATCTCTGTCAGCTAATCTAACTTTATTTACTTTGTCAGTGGATGGAAATCCCACAATCCATCAAATATCCAATAACGTCTGCAACTCTAACTTGATCATCTCATGGCAACCACATTTAAATGCTGTTGGATTCCCACACAAGTATGTTTATCTTTATGAATAATTTGATATATCCACAAGATTTAGTTTATGAGCCATCTTTTACACGGAACAGGCCTATAGATAAATCTGATTGAATACTCGCTTTGACAACAATGTTATAAAGTCATTTGAGAAAACGGCTAAAGCTGCTCGATTTACATTGTTAAATTTACTAAAGGTATTACTAAAAGTCAAAACGTAAATCTGTCATGCTGGTCACGACCCAATTCCATTACGCATATTGCTACCCGTTGTTACTTGCATTAATGCCAGCGTAAACTAACATCTGTTTTACAGGATAGAAGTAAGTCCGACCTCAGGCGGATCAACAAGATGGGTGGATTCACCAACATCTGAGAAACAGTCAACCACAATAACCAGTTTCTCGCCAATCACAACCTATACAATCAAAGTAAGCATTTACGATTCATTATATTGTTCACATCGATTGTTCCGCACTTATTTTATGCGAATATTTGTGGACGAAGGTCTCTCTTCTCAAGATCGCCTTTACCTGTAAAGCTAAATTAGTTTTCTGTCCCATTTATACTTTCGTTATTAAAATACCTATATAAATATCTTTTGTCAGATTACTGCATGTGTAACAAAAGATAACTGTCCAACCAAATATTCTACTTTCCGAAACGCAACAACGGGGGGAGCAATGTTATCTGCAGAATCGTCGTCTATTATACAATACAAGAATACACAAACTTGCGTCATCTCTTGGATATTATCTAACAAGACAGAGACTGGTGATTCATATAATGTGGTAAGCAATATTTTTATTTTGACTCAAATTATTCGAAACACACAGCTTTGGTTGAATATATGTCAATTGAATTTAGAATCCCAACGTGTATCATGAAGTCCACATTAAGTCGTGAAGTTTGACTGTTTATACTTACGATCGTAGATCTGTTTTGGTCCGCTCATATAAATTGCACATTGGTTTTTTGTTTAATAGTAATTTATATCCAATTCCTATTCCACTCAGCTGGAAGGTTTAACGTTATCTTCAACATCCTTATTTGGTATCAATTTTCAGAGCATTTTTAGTGACTTTCGGATGTAATTACTTATCTCATGATTAATAGGAACTGAATCTAACTTCAACCCTGGCTTCCTCACGAGATTCAAACTTGAAGACAGACATGAAACTTATAAACGTGACGTCATCATCTGTGTATTCGTTTCAACTAGAATCAAATCGTAACTATTCCGCTTCAATCAAAATATTCAGTTGTGCTGGATTTGGTCAAGTTTTATCTGTTACTGGCAGTTGTCTCGGAAAACCTAGAGGTATATTCAGAATTCAATGTTTGTGAATTCAATTTTTTAATCACTAATCTACTCAACAACTCTGATTAACCCAAGATATGCGAAGTTGCGTAAGTCATTGCGTTCTAAATATGTATCAATTTTCAAATTGAAACGATTATTAGACACATTTGCAGAACGCAGTTTGCAGCAAAAGTGTGAATCATAATGCAAAAATCAAGGATATCATAATGCCTTTGACTAAACACTGTCTTGTATTTTAGCTCCCACAAAGGTTTTTCCGCCTGATAGTTTTGAAGATAACCTAGTTAGCAGCGTATGTGAATTCAAAAAACTCGGAATACAAGCACCAGATGAGACTAATGGCCTTGTCAGGTAAGCTAAATGCAACAGAGTAAAAATAATATATCGACAATAAAGGTAGTAAATTCATCTTCCTATTAGCCTGAAAAAAAAAATCAACTGTGCCTGTTCATATATCATATTGGGTATATTATTCCTCTCCTGTACCAATATAATCACTTGGCTTATTAGACACGAAAGTTCTGATTAATTTTGATTAGTATCATTTTACAATATGAACTTTATTCTTCAACAAAATAAGATGCCGGTACAATTTGTGTTATTGTATAATCTATTAATTTACAGTTGCATATTCGTACTTGTGCGCACAAATTTGAAGGAACACGACGTGGCCCTCTCCTTGACTGACATGATAAATATTAACAACACAGTGAGCGGTGATAAGTATATTGCCAAAGCAATACTTGTTTCAAGGTTGTAAATAGTTTTTATTTCTAGAAAATTATATTACGTGAATATTTAAATCGGCGTTTTAGTTAAACATGATTTGTAGAATTTGCCTGAAATATGAAACATAAGAAAATGATTGAAAGTTTATTGGCGATATTAAAATTAACTAATCGGATAAAAGATTTATTCGCAATCGGTACCAGGGCAATGTAGGTATTACGTAATATATCAGAACAACTGCGATATTTCGGTATAAATTTATAAGATTTTTGACGTTGATTTTTTCGAAAAACTATAACGAAACGCTTTGTACTACGAATACTTTACTCCAATACTTTTCGGCTATAGTATGGGCATACAACGCACATGCAAGAAGAAACTTTGATACTGCATATGTTCGTATCACCATAGATGTATTTTGAAGAGTTTCAATGTGTATATACCTGTATGCGTCGTTGCAACGCGATTTTTCTATTGTCTCGAGCAGCAGCGGTATTTCCTGCATAACATATCATATTCTATTCTACATTGAATAAAATATTTTAGCATGAACGGTAAGCGAATGAATATAACACTCGGTGATGAATCAATGACAACATGTGACGTAATAAATATCGGAAAAGCAGGGATACAAAATGAACAAAGTTCTGGAAAAGGAATTCTATTCACAGGAAGGAACAAAAAATTAGATAAAAAGATGTTCAGGTATTCTATATATATCTTAGGGTCATATAGATCATCATAGACTTTTAATTTTTTAATTGGAAGTTTTGGTATTAATATAATGCTATTTCAAAACCGGCAGACAGTAAAGATATATGTTAACGTCAAATTAGATTGATTTACTTATTTAATGGTGCTATCAAATCAAATATAATATATACGTAATTCATTTGAGAAAATTATTTCCGCAATGCATAATATAACTTATTTTACTTCAGTGTCTCGATAGTTTATTCTACGCCCTCTGGTGACCAAATACATTTCAGTCAAAGCCCCTCTATAACGTTGAAACAAGGTGAACAAGAAACTACTGCTAAGAACGATACCGGTAAGAATAACAAATATTCAGATTTGGTTAATTCAAAGCCAGATTATGAAAAAAATTAGCGAACTTCAAACAACACAACATAACAAGCAAACAGTTATGAGAATTAAAAGAAGAATAAAGTGTTCTTTTATCGTGAACGTTAGATACTATCATTGTAATTCTAGAGATGATGTTGCTCATTTTAATAAAACTATAATCCCAAAACCTTTAAATATCAACGGGAAATCAGAGTAACGTATTTGTTTTAGAGAAAGGAGCGTTCGAGTTCAACATCATCAGTTTTGTGATTGGTTTTCTCATTCCTTTCGTCTTCTTGGTCGTCTCTGTCTGGATCATATACAAAATGAAGAAAGAAAGAAATAATTTGGAGGAAAAGGCAGAAGTAAAAGAACACAATTACGAAACTATAAAAGAAAAAGGTAGTGAGAATTAATCAGAACTGATGTATAAAATATTATTCCCATACAAATCAAATTCAAAGTGTCATTTAAAGTGTATAAACACAACAGAACACGGTCACGATAAAAGTTGTAACTCCACTTCAATGATAAACACATGCCATCAATATTAATGGGATAGAAAACGTTTATCAATCAATACAGGTTCTAATAGTGGGACAATACAATTTGTATAATTCGCATTTATACAAAATTGGAATGCCACCTCAAATAAAAAATAAATAAAATTAACGCCCTACTAGGAGTCACGCCCATTAGATTACTAAAAATTTGAAAGAGATTGGTCTGTGAACATACCTTCTATGAAGTGATGGAAAAAAACTGAGATATTTTATTTAAATAATTATTATTTTAACACACTGTCTATCACAGGTTTACATACTAGATCTGATTTCTATCAAGATAAGTATTTTAAATCGAATTTTAATTGTTTGTGGTTGATAGTTTTATTTTTTCAATTAATTAGCAACTCCTTCCAACAATTCAGCTCCACAACCATCATCTTCAAATGTCTTGGTAGAAACTGCCGGTTACGAACAACCACTTCCTGCAAAAACTAAGCAAACACAAGTGGAGTCAGCTTACGAACAACTATCATCATCAAATGTCCTGCAAGAAACTGCCGGTTACGAACAAGCTCTGCCTGCGACAACTAAGAAAACACAAGTGGAGTCAGCTTACGAACAACCATCTTCATCAAATGTCCTGCAAGAAACTGCCAGTTACGAACAAGCTCTGCCTGCGACAACTAAGCAAACACAAGTGGAAACAGCTTACGAATCTTACAACGCCTGATGAATTTCAGCTGAGCAGTAACTATCAGCAAATTACAAAATGTAAAAAATTCAAAATAGTTGTTCATTGACGAAACACTAGGTATACTTGTTACATATAATCTCGTTATTATTGAAGTAGTCAGTCAAGTTGGTATCGATTGTCATCTCTATGTCATAGCCGGAACAGAGCAATCAGCAGTATCTATTCACTTTTTCACCCAGAGTGTAATCAGCTCTGTAGGTCATGTCGCGAACATGTATATTCCAGCATGCATTCTTGTAAACGACTTGTAGTTCGGGTTAAGTCTGTGTATTATAATACAGCAATAAAAATTCGAAACCTTTCTTGAGAAGTTCACTCATTTTGTCTTGCTCGTTATAATTTCCATGCCCGACAACTAATACGCATATACAATAAAATAGGAAAGTTTTATAGTGTCATTTCCAAGAATGAATAAATTCTTCTTGTTGACTAAAAATAGAAAACAAAAATGAAAGAATGCTTCTTTCGACTAAAAATAGTCCGTTATTCTTATAGTAGTAATTGGATGTTATGTCTGAAATGCACGCATTTCATCGGACATGGGATTTCCCCTGGTACGTGATGCGCCTGTCTGTAATTTTGCAAATCGTCACCAGTTGAGGCTAGAGATTTTTATTTACCAGGTCCTGCAAATGCTTCAAGCTAAACCATGTGGTGTTTAATTCTATTGTTTTTTGCATTTTCACTAGACATTTTTGTTTCGCATTTTCATTAATTATGAGTATCGCTGACTCGATGATGATCTATCCGTCTATCGTAAGTTTCTAAATTTTTATTGTATTTTCTCAGAAAAGGAAATTCTGACTTTAAAGAGTGTTTCACATTACTGCGACACTTTGTTTACTTTGTTGATTTCTTTATTTTTATTTGTAAATGTTGCTGCTTTATTTGTACAGACCTATTATTATAATCGTATTAGATCGAGCAAAAGTTAATATCACTTGAACATCCAGCACCGATACCTCTAATTTCCATTGAAGAACAATATTGTGCTTGGAAATACTTGTGACTGAGACATATATATACGTTTTCAAGAAGTATAAATAGAGTAAGCAGTTGAAAAGATCGCAAATTCAGATTTGAGTTTGTTACTTATTTTAAATTTCCGGGAAGTTGACCATGTGTAATTAAATAAAGGTAAAAACTTACATATTGCAAACGTTTCTCACGAACGTACTCAGAGAAGTTTATATGGAAATTAAGTCTTGATATATTAAAAAATCTCCTCTATTCAGATGTATAGATGTTGGTGCGTTTAAATGTGAAAATATTTTTACTGTCTACTGCAATCAGGAAACATGTGACATGCACAAGCATTTCGCTATTCATAAGTTACACCAAATGAAAACTGTTTTAAGATATATAGCAAAATTTGAGCAGGGTCGTGTAAAACCTCTATGTGCTGTATATGTGATCTTTCACATTTTGTAAATATACGTGGAAAAAGTAAAATAACAGATAAACAATATTTGACAAACTCGTTTTACAACAATCTTAAAAATCTCACACATTATCTTTTATGAAACTAAAATATATTTTATTTCTGCTCTGCATTAAATTTATATTTGTTCATTATATTGCTCAACAATATGATTTTGACATCTAATATTAAATGTGTATATACAGATTAAATACGGTTGGTTTAGCAATGCATGTCTTATGTACAAAAGTGACTCAATGAATTGTGGGTGTGAACTTATAATCATTTTACGAGGTGTCACTACTGTTCGTACAGTTTCGACATGCAGTACCCAAAATACATAAGAAGCTTGTAGTTTCGTGAATAACAGTAATTTTCGGTTTGACACAAATAACTAGCAACGTTGTAAATATTATATAAATGTTGCTTCACCTGGTAGTAATAGACAAGATAGCGTTGAGATTTGATGCTGGTATCAGACTGAGCTTTTCATTTCCGATGATATAGATGGCGGGACTGGTCCAATTCTTGGTAGCTTGATCAAGTCACTAACAAAAAACACAAACTTTGTTAAACGAGGAATGGGCCAGAAATAAACACGCAAAAAATACGCGAATGTATTGAACGTTCAGGCTGTTGTAGGCTACTTTTAAAATACTTAAGCTGATAATGATCTATTCAATCTGATACAAATACAATGTGACAAAGTAACGACTAACGAGAATAGTCGGAAGCCACGAATAACTTAACTGATTTGGCATTGGTTTAAAAGAAGCAAAATACAAACTTTAATCGAAGCTATGTTGGTAAATTATGTGCACAGACACCTATAAAAGCAATTCACAGGAAACACACCAATCACGCGTGTACAGGTCTGTAATTGATGAGGCCAATACCGATATTCTTAAAACGCACACAGAACAAAACAATAACACGCCATTAAAAAAATGTTAAAAACGTTGCGAATTGGCATGGTCAAATTATAAGACCATAAAACTGTTTATGCATATATAATACCAAAGATATTGTTTGAGTTGTCATTCAATATATAGGTAGATTTTGCAGTACCGATAAAAACTTTTACTGTAGGCCTATCTGCTGTTAGTTGAATTTCAATTACTTTTCTTCATAAACCTGATTCATTATATTTCGATTCTGTCATGCTGCCTTAACGTCCTTTTCATCTTTACATCATCTGTAGGCTCCTTATTGGTATTCATTCAATGCCAGCGAATTGTTTCATTATGCACTCGGCGATTTTTCGGCGTACTTATCCACAGTTTAACTTTATGCTTTTGGAATGAATTACTACCTATCTTGCTAAGTATTACAACGGCGATTGCTAAGCTTGCACTGCACCACAGGTTAAAACGTTAACAAGCCAGTACAGCAGTACCGTTGTCACTCCTCAACACCAGTTCCGACTAGAATGCAACTCAGCAAAAAATCAATTCTTGATCATTGGCGGAACGAAAGTTAGAATTGAGCATATTGAACCCATTCCATTATTGATCGGCAAACAATTTTCTCGTATTTATAAATTTGAATTTTAAATGATGAGAGGTGAAGTAAGATATCAAAACTGATTTGGTCCTCAACTATATTTAAAAAAATTGAATAAAAAAAATTTCTCCGTAAATTATTTTTCATAACTTTTATGTCGTGTGTAGCAAAGTGTAGCGAAGTCAACGGCTAGCGAGACTTCAATAATGCCATTGTCTGTCGTAGGGGAATTCCTTCTTTTGGTTTACTGGTTAATACTAGTCACCAATTGGACCAACTATCTTAAGCTAAAATCTACTTCATTTTTACATATGCAGTATGTAAATACTTTGACTGTTTAGAGAATAATTTGGTTGGTTGGTATTGGTATATATTAATATCCAACTTCACCTATCATGATCACATCAGTACCATCCTGCCATTTCCAATTCCAGTTATGTCGTTTCACTAATATGAATGGTGTTTTCATCACCTTATAGGCTTAGAATATATAAACCATATAATTTTATTTTTATTTTGAAGTAAAGACCACAGCTTTCAATTTACCTCGTAAAGAGTACTGACTAAAAAGTTGAGACTATAGACGTATTAAGATAACATAATAGCCTTTGCGTGATAAAGCAAAGTACTATTAAAAAATGTTGATAAAGCCAGATAGCCTATAAAGAATATAATCCGCAGGCAGGTTACTAATAATAACTAATAATTACTATAAAATCAATTATGTATAAAACAGTTTTTGTATATTTAGGCTATATATTTGTTTGAATATATAAACTTGTGAGCTTTGAAAAATTCCTTTGATTTTTGACTCATTATATAGGGTGTCCATAAAGTCTTAACATTTTTCAAATTGCAAGAGGGAATTCATCGATGCCCCACTTTATTTTGGCCCTCACAGATGTATTAAATGAAGTAAAAATACTTAAGATATAAACTGGCTTCATAACAAAAATTGAAATTGTAAAGGTACTTTATGGACACTCTGTATATATTGGCGACACACTAATAAGGTAAAGTAATAATCCAAGGTAATAACATCAACGTAATAAGACACATTTGCTTTTTCCAGTAAAAGTACGAGAATGATTTACATAATAGGGATATTTGCAGCGTCAGCGAAGGTTCAGAATTGAATGATGATTTTTCATATTAAGAATCAGAATTAATGGATCTATTACACAAAAAATCACGAATTGACGAAGTTGTTACGATAAATATTTAAATATTATGAGTTGAGAATGACGGATTGTTTAGCTATGGAGCTAACAACACCCTCAGATATAATAAAAAATAAAATAAAATAAAAACGAAATAACAAAGGCGAGTGAATATGCAATAAACAATAAAAATATGTATCACGTGGTTTCGATAAATACTCACTTAAATAATCAAGTGATTTGAAAATGTATAGTGACGATTTGTAAGATTAAGGGAAGTATGTGAACCAAGATGGCGGTCACCGGAACGTAGTATATGTACCAGGTTAGGGTTAAGCCTTAATTTCAGATACAAATACTACGGTAGTCACTTGGCTAGTCCTCGAACTCGTAATAGAACTAAAATATGGAAAATTGGAATAAAATTACACATGCGGTACACATACTACGTTCCGGTGTCCGCCATCTTGGTACGCAAATTTCGAGAGCACCAGATTAAGACATCCATATCAATAGAAAAACCGTGGCCGACGGAAGATGGGCATTTTGGGCATATCATCGAATTACTACGTGGCTAATTTTAAGTCAATTTTCTTCATAATTGAAAATGAGAATACATGCCTATGATATTAGTATATTCATATCAGCTTCAGAGAAATTGGATGAAGATTGATAATTGAGTCGACTTGTAAGAATTTTATCCATTGACACCATCACGATTGAAATATTCTAACCAACAGCTAAGACATTGTTAGTCACAACATCACCGAGTGTTTTATGAAGACCAACTTTTTTCTTTTTATAATATGCGAATAGATATTGAGTTTATTAGGCGTTGTAAGTTTCGTAAGCTGATTCCCCTTGTGTTTGGATAGTTGTGGCAGGACAAGCTT